CTTGCGCTATTTTTTTTTTTCCTTACCTTCCGTCCAGCTAAATTAGCTAAGCAGAGCAGAGAGATTGTTTGACACGTGCAGGAGGGGGGTGCAGGAGCTGTATGGGGAGCTGAACGGGTGTCAGATCGGAGCAACTGCTTCAACGTCAGAAGGAGGAGAGAGAGAACGTGAGAGCGACTCCAGTAACAAGCAACGAGCGGCTGAACTGACAGAAACAGGAGCGAGTGGGGGATTTGATTTGATTGGGCTGTGACAAGGTTTGGCTGCTGAGTGAAGAGGAGAAGGGGGAGTGATAACACATGCATGTGACTGGAGGACGCAGCGGCTGAGGGTGAGTGGATGATCTGAGAAAAAGAAAAACAAAAATTGTTGATGTTTGACTGCATTGAATTGAGCTAATTTGAATATAGTGCAATAAAGCCTCACTGAGTGTACTCTGTGTGAGCAGAAGGTGGATTTGCATTAGGGGCAGGCTGAGCAAAAGCTAAGTTGGGACTGAGTTTGACAGTGTTTTGAAAAGGGGACAGGCTACCTACCTGAACTACTTGAGGTTGTATAAGGAAAAAAGAAAATACATTGTGTTTATTTTTGTCTGTCTGTAAATCTATTGTCTGCAGTGTGTGCTCTATTTGTACTACATATAGAGTATACACTGCAGACAATAGATTTACATTTATCCCCTGCTAATATGAATGGATTAAATGATCCATAGTACATAATATGGTAGAACATAATATGTATTTGTACTATGGATCATTTAACCCATTCACTGTAGCTGTGTGAAAGCAAATACAAATGTTTTATTGTTCTAAAACAGTCTTAAATGAAAGTGGCCTAAAATCTACAAGCTCAACATATAGAGAGCTATTGCCTACGATATACTGCGAGCCCCGCAGCCAGGACGGATCCTGACAATACTGTCGTGATCCACCGAACTGCGTGAGTGACAGCTGGCTCTGCCCATCTAGAGGCAGAGCCAGCTGTGCCAGCCCGCTCCCCTGTTCGTTCCCCCACTCAGTGCTGGAGGATCGGAGAGGGGAATCCCTGCGAGGAGCGGTGACAGTCAGTCACCGCTCACTGCAGGGAGACGATCGGAAGGTGAGCAGATCCGTCTGCATGTTTCTGGTCACTTCCTGATCAATAGTGCCGACCTGTGACCGCTTCTTTGTCACAGGTCGGCTCTAACGATGAGGATGAGTGGAAATCACTCACCTCATAGTTCTCCTTTTTTTAAGTACATGGGATATATCGTTTTTTTTATTTTTAATTCACAGACATTTCTAAAATTCTGTTTTCACTTTGTCATTATGGGATACTGAGTGTAGATTAATGAGGAAAAAAAAATAATATAAAGGAGAACTTTGAGGTGATCATCCTCATAGTTATAGCCGACGTGTGACAATTAAACTTTCACAGATCGGCTCAATAGATCGGGAAGTGAGCGAACACATACCATCGCTCGCTCACTTCCCAATCTCCCTGCAGAGAGCCGTGACTGTCACTCACGGCTCCCTGCAGGGATTCCCCCCCTCCCTGCTCCGATCCTCCAGCGCTGACTGGAGGAACAAACGGGGGAGGGGCCGGTACATTTGGCTCTGCCTCTAATTAGGCAGAGTCCACTGTCCCTCACACAGCTGGGTGGATCTCAACATTAATGTCTGGATCCGTCTCGGTATACCGCAAGCTGTAGCTTGCAATATACTGAACTTTGGGTCACGGGAGGAGGCTAGTATATGTTCTCCAGTGACCCTTAAGAGAACTATGGGGGAAAACACTTAGCCCATAGTTCTCTTTTAAACAACTAATATCCGACTGCAACATAACAAAATTGAAAAAGTGAAGGGGGGTCTGAATACTTTCTGAATGCACTTTAAAACTCTGCAATTGGCAAAGTGTATGCTAATTGGAAAACCCAGCTTTGATTCAGTGAGTTGTGTGAAACCTCTGCAGAGACCACATCTTCCACACAGAGGACAAGGGTCTTCATCATGCTGATAGGGGGCGGCCTGGGGCTGCTTTCTAAAGAAAATGAACTGTAACTCTTTGCATACCTTTTTACATTTTGAATGCATTTAGTGAACTTATTTGGCTGTAAAATTGTTTCAAATACATCTATTTTTAGTACATCAATCTGTCTTTGTGTTGACTTGTCATCCCATGCACAGCAGAATTCAAAGGGAGGTCCAGCAGTGTAAGTTACCCAGAGCCCTACTATGTTGTGCAGTACTGTTAACACTGGAATGAAGAGCGACCACGGGCATGACAGTGATGATACAGAAAGGGCCGTTGCCCTCCTTGCACTGCAATGCGGCAAGGTGGTTGAATCACAAGTAGAGATAAACAAAGTGATTTAGGACAAATTAGTTTTGTTACAAAACTCGTTTTATCTGCACAGAAATGATTTTGAAAGTGAAACATTCTTAAGTGACCCTCGGCAAAAAAAAAAGCCTGTGCTGGCCGGCTGCAGTTTGTACAGATAGTACTCCTGCTGAGGTGGAAGGACTGTTCGCCGAAAGGTAAGTATAGCGGTAGAGGGGAGAGGGGGCCAGATCAGAGCGAGTAATTCTATTTTCTTAAATTACTTGGAAGGAAATGCACATTCTACGTGTTAGTGCTGCTGCCTGGCTACCACAATATGGCACACAGTGGCATGAGGGCTGCACTCACAGAATGCTCTACGCATTCATTTATTCGCATGCACATGGCAGGGCCGGCGGGGTTGGTTTTTTTTTTTTTACATTTTATCATTTTTTAACTTCATTTTATTTAATTTTTTTTATACTTGATCCCTTTTTAATTTTTTTTTTTTTTTTTTTTTACTTTTTTATTTTTTTTTTTTTTTTTTTTTACATTTTATTCTATTTTACGGTTTAATTTTTTTTCCCCCCACTTAACTTTATTGCTATTATACAGGGACTAACAAGCCCCTAAGTTATAGCGTTTGGAGGTGACAGGTTCTTTTATGGCACATACCGCCTCGTTATACATACGCTTGTATGTAAACAGGCATTGCTGCATGCTTTTAAATTTTGTCAGATCAAGAGAGCTCCCGGCCGGCCGCCGTGAGTACGAATTCCCCGAATTCCTTGTTTTTTTTTTAGTGGGTTCCTGCATTCCCCCCCTCCCCCCCTTGCACGGGTGCCTATATCCGCTAAGCAGCTGCTGTGGAGGCACCCGTGTGTGCTCGTTCACATCCGTGCCCGCAAGTGGCTTTGTGCGTTCATAGACGCACACAGCCCTGCGGCAGGTTACTGCCCTCAATCTCCTCCCACGCAACCAGGAAGTTCTGGACAGAGGATCACTGCGGGTGGGGACAGGGAGGCGAAAGGTACTGGGTGTGTTTTACCTTAATGCAGGCAATGCATTAAGGTAAAAAATGCTGAGCCTTTAGAACTATTTTAAGTCACGACCCAAAATTTACTTAATTTCCGAAACATAATTTATTCCACAAAACAACATGTGCAGTATTCCACAATGTATATATGAACATTTTAAACAGTTTCTTTGGTGAGGTAGTGTAATTTTAACTTAAAGTAACACTGCCACAACTGTGAAGCTGGGTAAAGTGGAGTTACAAAGTGGGTGCAGTGTTGGTGTTAGTGTACAGTGTGGGAGGAGTGGCAGCACATAGTGTATGGGCAATGTGGTGGGCTCACAGCGTGTACTCCAGCTACTACTCGCTGCCTGAAAGGCCTCTACAGCTGCACTTGTATCTGACTCAAATTCTAGAGAAGGTGTAGACGTACGCTTATGGACCTTTATTTTCCCAGTCACCAATCATAGTTGCAGTTTAGACCATAAAATCAAGCAAAGCTGCAGAGGGCTCCTCCCTGAATAAGGTAACAGAGGAGGCCACAGCTGATAAACCTAAGTTTTGAGAGTGTGTATTGTGACTTGAGTGTGACTCAGAGGACAACAATCCAGGCTGTTGGTGTCTGGTCACTATGGAGGGACACTGCAGGCCACCTAGGAATTGTTAGTGGATTGTGAGCTGGAGAGATGTTATTCAACCCGGACTATTTTCCTTGTGTTTGGGCGCCTACATGTAGTGCTGATTAACAGAGGGAACACCAGGTGCAAAACATGGGGTTCTCGCAAAGCAGCTGCTTGAGAGCATACCGTAGTTTATCAGGTCACTGTCCGAGTTAGCTGAGGTGAAAGGCTGTCTCTCTTTCAATAGAAGCAATGGTGGAAGCAGCTACCTTGTGCTGAAAAGGTGGGAACAGAGCACAGAGTGCATGCGCCCGACCCTCCAGTTAGTGACAGCCCTTGATTGTCCAGTGTGTTACCCCTTTCTATGGAAACAGTTGGGTGAAAAAAAATGTAAAAGTAATGGATCAAGGATATCAATAGATGTAGAAGTTTCCGATAGTCAGCCCACGTGGCATACTCCTAAAGCCTTCAGAGACTGGGCACACCAGAGGAAAGCCTTTCAGGTGCTGGGGTTTCTGTGCTCACTCAAATCATCTAGATGCAGGAAAGTTTGCAAATAAGCTCATTGGTACTGGTAAGCCAGCTTTCAAACATAATAGACCTCTCTTGTTGGATACCCAGAAGCTACTCAATTTTTAGAAATAAAGCAGGCCAAACCAAAAGGTGAAATAGTCCAAAGGTGCCTTTTGATTGTTCACAATTCTATCATGCAAAACAGCCAAAGCATTTTGGGGGCAACAACACAAATACAATAATGAATAAAAGCTTAATAATGATAAATGCATAGAAAAATTCAACAATGACTATGAAAAAAATATAAAAAAACAAGAAAACTTGTGTACCTGGGGGAAAAAAATTAGTGTAAATACTGTGAAATGAAGTAGAGAATATAGTATATTTTATTGTACCTTTTTATTTGCCTATTTAAAGGTAACTATTTTACTAATTTTACTTCTTTGTATAGTTATCCTTTTAGGTTTGTTTTTCTGTTGCTAGGCAGCTGCTACATCATATACAGTATTGTTTGCGGTTTTATGAGATTTCATTTTTTTTTTTTTTTGTCTTAGGAGAAAGACCTTACCAGTGTATAATGTGTCCATATTCCAGCTCCCAAAAAACCCATTTGACCAGGCATATGCGGACTCACTCAGGTTAGTTGCAGTGATTTATGTTGATAAATGGCATGTTTATTTTAATGGAAAGCAAAAAGCTTAAGGCAAAAACATTTATTTTAATGGAAAGCAAAAAGCTTAAGGCAAAAACATTTACTTAGGTGGAGACAAATTTAGGCTATACATGAAAACCTGCAGATGATCCATGCAACAGCATTTGTTGGCAAAACATTTTGTCTAACTTGACAAATCTGGAGTTCTATATTCTCATTGGGGGGGAATTTATCAAGGCACTTGCGACAGTTTTCTGTCCTATCTCATTAAATGACTTTTTTTCCTCCTTATTTGCGCCTCATTTATCAATGAAGCCCTGTTAATAAATGTCATTTTCGTGAGACAGCAGAAAACCTTCACAAAAATGTCATATGACTCTTCTAGACAGCGGTAACTGACTCCCCCAGCCGAAACTGTTGTGAATATCCCCACAATTCTGCTATACAGTTCTGCTATAAGCTCATGGTCGCTTTAGCGACCATGAACTTATAGCAGAACTGTTCCCCTGACTGTCCCTTTTCAAATAATAGCTGTCATCAGCGGCTGTCATTGCTTCGCCCCCCGTTTCCCCGTAGCCGCCTGTCATTCTTAGCCTGCTATTGGATATTTCTAATTGCAATAACCAATAGCAGGCTTTTAATTTGAGCCCGCCCACTGCCGGCTGTCAGTCGGGAACTAGTGGACCTGATGGAGAACTTCATCCCTCAGGTCCCTCCTCTGTAGAAAGTGGGCGTGTTCAATTGGCAGCCTACTATTGGATATGTAATTTCAAATTATCCAATAGCAGGCTGTAGATTGCGTTCCTCAATACAGTTCCTCAATACAGTCTGCTATAAGCTTATGGTCGCTTTAGCGACCATGAACTTATAGTAGAACTGTTCCCCTGACTGTCCCTTTTCAAATAATAGCTGTCAGCTAAAGTTAGCCGAGTTATTAACTAAAATTCTGGGCGCCCCCCTCTCCGCCGGCACCGCGGCCCATGGCCGCTGGCATATTCAGCTTCTGATCCCTGCCTGGAGCCGCTACAGGCAGGGATCTGTGTCTCAATGGATCCCCGCTGCTCTCCCCAACTTGTAGGGGCTGTGGCAGCAGGGATCTGATTCGAAATGGCCGGCGGGGGGGCGGAGGAACAAGCGGCTTGCAATTGCAGCCCAGCGGGAGGAGAGGGGAGCAGCCGCTTTCATCCTATCAGTTTCCGGGGATGACAGCGGCTATGTGCGTGGCCGAGCGGGGGATCGTTAAATATGAGTGATATTTAACGATCCTCTCGTGTGCAGAGCAAACACCTGAGTGATCGTCTGATCACTCCGGTGTTAGTACTATGTGTCCCCAGTTATTTACAATGTGTCCCCAGTATGAATGAACAGGATGTGATTTACACTTCCTGTTCATGTTTTCCTCAATGGGGAGAAGCACTCACTACAGGGGCTCCTCTCCATTCAGAGACCGCTTGATTGTAAATATTTTTACTATCATTAGTTTCTGAATGAATGGGAAGCCTCAACGTGCACCATATTGTGGTGTACGTCATGCGCTGCAATGTGTTGTTTGAACGCATCGCAGTGCATCATTTAGTGCAGAAAAAGAAATTGAGGACTCTGCCTCCTCAATTTCTTCTATTTCAAAAGGGAGATGTGAGGGGTCTGTTTAGACCTCTAATATTTTCCCAAAGCCCCCCTAACAGTAATAATTAAAAAAATACAAAAAGAAAAAAGAAATAAAAAAAAAACTGATTAAAAAAAGATCAGCTACACGTGCACCATATTGTGGTGTACGTCATGCACATGCGCTGGAGTGCGTTGTTGGAACGCATCACAGTGCATGAGTGTTTTTATTTAATTTAAATAAAAACATTATTTTAACTCTGGCAACGCATGGCAAAGCTTTGTGACGCATTGCCGTGCGTTGTGATACCTTGTGTTGCGATTAAATATACGCCTGTGTATTATTTTTTCACAACACAAACACAGCGCAAAAACGACTTTTAACATAAATCGCATATTTACAGTTTTGCGTTCATTTATTTACCTTTTCCCAAAAAGGCGCAATTTCAAATTTGCAAATATTTGTTATTTATTAACTCAATACAGTTTTATCTTTTAGAGTTAGTCAGAAAATAATAAAGAAAGTGTTTATCTCCCGGCCCGCCAGGAGCCGAAATCAAATAGGGCGAGACTCCCGGAGCGTCTGGAGATCAGCGTCCCTGGTTACCTGGTAACCAGGGACACTGATCGGTCTGCAAGTGGCAGGAGCCAGCCCTCAGTATCAGGCTGTCGGCCGGCCGTTTGGCCAGCTTCGACTTTCACCTGGGCTCGGTCAAGCCGAAGCATATGCCTTCGGCTCGACTGAGGCCCTTGGCAAAGTACGGGAGCTGTACGGGCTATAGTGAATAGTAGGGATGTCCCGATGCCACTTTTTCAGGCCCAAGTACTTCCCCTCATGTACTTGCCACACCTGGAGCTCCGCCCACCAGAGCAGCAGTGACGTGACGCTCGTCAAGGTAAGTAAGAGAGAAAAAAAACACAGCGCAGGCTTCGGTTCTAGGTATCGGGGCATTTTGACAAGTACTTGTCAAAATGCCCTGTATCGGGCCCGATTCCGATGCTAGCATCGGTATTGGGATATCCCTAGTGAATAGCCCGTACCGTGTGTGTGTGTGTGTGTGTGTGTGTGTGTGTATGTATATATATGTGTATATATGTATACCCTGTTTCCCTGAAAATAAGACCTAGCACTATTTCTCAAGATTCCTGTAATATAAGACCTACCCCGAAAATAAGACCTAGTTTGGTGGTAGCATGTGAGGGGGAACTTGAAGAGCAGGAGAGTTGGTATCAGCTTGCAGGGACATACTGTATCAGGGGATGACAGGGGACTCCCTCCGGCCGGCGCAGTGACAGGGAGCACTCCAGTACCATACTTCACCAACTGCTGTCCCCCGAAGGCACTGCTTAATGTAAAGGTAAATGGTATCGTATTTACCGCGCTGTCCACAGTCTGATGTCCGCACTGCTGGTACCGCTGTCCGGTACTGTGACAGGCGGGGTGATACCAGATAACTTTGGATTGTTGTACATGAATAACTTTAGATTGTTGTACATTTTGTTGCACATTAAAAAAAAAAAAGACATCCCCTGAAAATAAGACCTAGTGTGTTTTTGTGGGGCAAAAAAAATATAAGACAGTGTCTTATTTTCGGGGAAACACGGTATATAGTGGTCTAGCGTTGAAAGTGAGCAAAGACAATATTTCTAATAAATATATATGAATTGGATATATAATTGTCAATAAATAAAACACGTGTAAGGGACACAGACAGCTGTAGCCAGCACCAGCGGGGGGGAAGACGCAGAAAAATAGACAGGAAGGGGCTGGAGACAGGGATGGAGGACGTAATTTGTGAGCAGGCAGGATCCAGATTAATTAGAGTGAAATATACAGCGGCGGGAGCAGAGTATGGTTAGTTAAAACGGAGCTACATTTATTAGGGCTGTATTTAGAAGTGATCTTAGGTACTTGTTAATTTGCGAGGGTTTTAACTGTATCTGCGCCTGTTTACTGACGGCAATAAAAAAGACACGCAACTGTAAAAAAAAAAAAAGCAGAAGCAGGAGTTGCGCAGAAAAAGATCTTAAACTGTCGCAAGTGCTTTGATAAATTCCCCCCAATGTTCTTACATAAGCCTTTCTCTGCTTGAAGGTTTGCCCCACCTAATGGCAGCAGGGTGAGAAATGCTGTTGGAATTTTCACATAATTAGATGATGAGTTCCTATCGGCTGAGGAACTGATTTTTTGCCACAAACATTTGTTTTTCTCTTCAACCTATAACAGCTTTTTCAGGTCATGCTGGTTTTAGAGGCCATGGGAATAATTGTCACTACCCCCTCTTCCCCCCATCATGTTTCTGGGGTTGCCCCTCAAACATCTTCAGAGTTCCCAAACACGATGGTTCAGTCAGGCCTGTCTTGGACATCAATGCTCTTAGTAGGACTGTGGACAGAAGAATATTTACTTTTTCTTCCAAGCAGTTGATCGGTTTAAAAGAGAACTATGGGGCAGCGGTATCTTTTCCATAGTTCTCCTCAGGTTCACGGGAGGACATGTACTGTCTCCTCCCGTGACCCAAATATTTGCCCGTTAAACGCTGAGAGCACTGCAGCCGGGACGGATTCCGACAATACTGTCGAGATCCTCCCAGCTGGCTCTGCCTCTCTAGAAGCAGAGACAGCTGTGGCCGTCCCCTCCCCTGTCCTTCCTTCCAGTCAGCACTGGAGGATCGGATAGGGGAGGGGGGGGATCCCTCCGGAGAGCGGTGACTGATAGCCACTGCTTTCTGGAGGGATATCATAGGTGGTATGTTTTCACTCACTTCCCGATCAATAGAGCCAGCATGTGACAGTCACACAGTGACACATTGGCTCTAACTATGGGGATGAGTGTAATTCACTCACCCTATAGTTCTCCTTTCGGAACAAACCTCCACTAATCTCTCTAGCTTGCAAACACTGTGGACCAATTACTTAAAAGTTCACTAGAAGCAGAGAAGGCATTCGGATCCAGTCTCACCTCCCCCCTTTTACAGCCTTTTTCAGTTAATCTATTTTGTATTTACAGAACAGATTGCTAGGCTGCCAATTTTTGGGTGGAAAGGGGAAGCGGCACATTCTGCACTTTCTGTAAATTGATGGCTTGCTTTAACATTTACTTATTGCACATTAGAGGCTATTTGCTTCGAAGCTGTTGTTTCTCAAATTTCAGAATTATCTACCCCAAAAGAGATAAGTCACTGCAATCCAGAATCCTTGCTCTGACTTATTGTGTGTTAAAATTAAATCTTGATTTATTAATGAGCGAAGTACCAGAGTTGCTGTTTAACCACTTCAAGACCAGGTGTTTAGACTCCCTTCCTGGCCAGGCCATTTTTCAGTGTTCAGCGCTGCGGTACTTTGACTGACGTTTATTCCGTCATGCAATACTGTACTGAAATGAA